CATAAATTTAACAGAAAAATGTCTTACCTCCCCCATAGGAAAACACCAGGTTACATGTAGCTGGTGACAGGAGTAAGCCTCCTGCCTTGTTGTCAGAGATCCTGGGTGGCAGAGGAGGGAAAGTCAGAGATAAAACGAGGTCTGGGGTTATTTCCAGAGGAGCCGTGCCAGGCTGGGAGAGCCATCCAGGTTCAGGAATGGGCTGAGCATCCTTAGTTTACTTCTCTCCATCCCTGAGAGACCTGCTTTGTGGTAGTCTGGAGGAGAGGACTCAAAGCAGAGGGGTGTATGCAGGTGTATGCACACATGTGTGGTGGTGGAGTTCCATATGCATATGCAGGCATGTGCATGCATGTGTGGTGGTGTGGTTCCATGTGCATAGGCAGGTGTGCACACACATGTGTGGTGGTAGGGTTCTACATGTGTATGCAATTATGTGCACACGTGTGGTGGTGGGGTTCCATGTGCATATGCAGGTGTGTGCATGCATGTGTGGTGGTGGAGTTCCATGTGCATATGCAGGTGTGTGCGTGTATGGTGGTGAGGTTCCATGTGCATATGCAGGTGTATGCACACGTGTGGTGGTGGGGTTCCATGTGCATATGCAGGTGAGTGCACACTTGTGTGGTGGTGGGGTTCCATGTGCATAGGCAGGTGTCTGCACACTTGTGTGGTGGTGGGGTTCCATGTGCATATGCAGGTGTGTGCATGCATGTGTGGTGGTGGGGTTCCATGTGCATATGCAGGTATGTGCGTGTGTGGTGGTGAGGTTCCATGTGCGTATGCAGGTGTGTTCACATGTGTGGTGGTGGGGTTCCATGTGTATATGCAGGTGTGTGCACATGTGTGGTGGTGGTGTTCCATGTGCATAGGCAGGTGTGTGCACACATGTGGTGGGGTTCCATGTGCATATGCAGGTGTGTGCATGTGTGGTGGTGGGGTTCCATGTGCATATACAAGTGTGTGCATGTGTGGTGGTGAGGTTCGTGTGCGTATGCAGGTGTGTGTATGTGTGGTGGTGGGGTTCCATGTGCATATGCAGGTGTGTGCATGTGTGGTGGTGGGGTTCCATGTGCATATACAGGTGTGTGCATGTGTGGTGGTGGGGTTCCATGTGCATATGCAGGTGTGTGCATGTGTGGTGGTGAGGTTTGTGTGCGTATGCAGGTATGTGCATGTGTGGTGGTGGTGTTCCATGTGCATATACAGGTGTGTGGATGTGTGGTGGTGGGGTTCCATGTGCATATGCAGGTGTGTGTATGTGTGGTGGTGGGGTTCCATGTGCATATGCAGGTGTGTGCCATATGTGGTGGTAAGGTTCCATGTGCATATGCAGGTGGGTGTACATGTGTGCTGGTGGGGTTCCATGTGCGTTCACACACATATACAGGTGTGTGCACACGTGTGGTGGTGTGGTTGATGTGCGTATACAAGTGTGTGCATGTGTGCTGGTGGGGTTCCATAAAGCATTGGTTTGAGGAAAGAGATTAGGAGCATGCATTCTGACAGTTGACAATAGCTACAAATCAGGCAAAACTCTGAAATGTGAACGGCCTCATAAGAATGCATTTCTCACTTAGGTAAAGGCCAGTGAAAGTTGAGAACCTTTCTCCGTCTTGGTAACTTTGCCATCTGCACATGTGTCCTCTGGGGTTCTAGTGGCAGGAAGGTGACAGAGGCATATGAGGTTTTTTTTAATTGAGAGATAGTTTATATATCTTACAACTAAATCATTGAAATCGCAACATTCTGTGGTTTTTGGTATATTCTCAGAGTTATGCAACCATCACCACAGGCAATTTTAGATTTTTATTACCCCCCAAAGCAACCCCATATGCACTACGTGTATTTATATTTCTTATATGTGTGCATTTAAAACATACAAATACATGTGTACATATACATTATAATAAAGCACAAAAACGGCATGTATAATATTGTATATAAAAACATATACACATATCTGTATATGTAAAGTATATATGTATGGAATGGTCCTTAATGCCTTTTAAAATCTCAAGTTCCACATCACTTCTTTCTTATTCTATTTCATAATTTTAAATAAAAAAAGAAGCCTCTTACCTTTTTTCATCCTCTCTCCCCTTCCTCTGCCCCCGTATACACCTTACCTATTTCAGTGAGTCCCGTAATTTTTAGATTCTACATACCATTTAGTTACTAAGAGAGATTGGCTTATTTTTGTCCTAGATACATCTTTCTTGAAAACAAAACAATTGGTTTTTAAAGTCATCTCTTTCTTCCTTCCCTGAATGTTAGGATTCATTGCTTATATTGTTGCCCATGAAAATATGCATCATACAATGAAATGTGTTTATTTCGACAATTTTAATTTCTTCATATGATTGGTGGTTGTCTTTGATGCTCCTTCATGCCTAGCACTTTACATAAGGAAACAATATTGGTGGTACCAAAGAATCTACATTCCTGATAAACAGTATTAATTAAGTATAGTAGTAGCTTTTTGTTTTCTCTCCCTAGTGTCGGTAAACAATGGTGAATTTAAGGGCTGTCTGTAATGCCATTGAAAACAAATTGGAGATCTGCAGAATTAAGGAATAATTTGGAACAGTTACCCAGCTAGTTTGAGGAACTCGAGAAGTGATTCTCTCCCTTTTAACTGTGACCAAAATGGACGTTGTGTTGTTCACCTTAAGATGTCTTCCTATGTTACTTCTGTCAACACAATCCAGAGGATAGTTATACATCTAAGAGACTCTACCATCCTGCCCTTTTCTTAGAATGTGCTAGTATCTTTGATATGTAAATACTGTAAGGAAGGCCAACTGTGGAGTACTCAAAATAGGCCTGAAAACAGAAAACCTAGATTCAGATTTTGCTTTAACCACTTACTAGCTGTATAACATTTGTAAGTCAGTGCGTTGTTGTGATACTTGCCTGCTTCTCAGTAAAATTCCTTTAGCACTCATGGCCTCAGAGGTGCCTTTGAAGTCGCCAGGCCTGTAGTGGCCCACGGCACACATTAGGTAGGTGTTTACTCTTTTTTTTTTTTTTGTCATACAGCAATTGTTATTTAACAATAGAGAATTTATATTAAAATCAAATTTGGTAATTCAAAAGTGACATGAAAGAAATAAGCTATTCATGCATATATTCACTAACTACCTTACATATATTTAGTCTAAGAGAAATTTAACACCCAGCTTGACAGAGCCTTTGCCCAAAGCAAGCCAAAAATAGCTGGCAAAATCTCTGTTATTTCAGTTCTTCTTATTATTATTAAAGGTGATAATTTTCTTTTAAGTTTTTAAAAATGTATTCATTAATATATAAATCATTAAAGTATATTTAGAAAACAAAGAGCATAGGCATTGCAGCATAGCTGCATTAATATTTTGATGTATCTCTTTCTAGTCTTTTTTTCCTGGGCATAAAGGGATTGAATTTGTCAGATCTAATGAGGTGGGCATGTGCATGTGGTGACAGACCCTGCCTGGAGCGGGGAGGTGGTGGCCGCTTTTCCAGAGGGCTACCTTGGGTGCGGTTACAGGACTGTTCCTATAGCGCAGGGTGCCCATTCCTGAGGGGAGCACCCCCTAGGGGACACCCCTGTCCCCTCCATCCATGGAATACTGTTCCAAGTGCCATTTTCATTAACTCTGCCTTGTTTAGAGTACACGTCTCCCGTGCTCCCCTTGTCACAAGTGAATAAACAGACACCGTGTTTACTGAGTCTTTGAATTTCTAACATCTTTTGCTGCCCTTACATGTGAGTGGTAACACAGCTAGTATAAAATCCTTGCGTATAACCATTTTCACTTGTTTGACCAATATTTCCCAGGGTGTAATCCCTGAAAAATTAACATCATAATGTCATTGAATATTATGCACATAAGTGATTCCAATTAGAAGCATTCAGGCAATGAGGACCTACAGGAAGTTTCTTTCTAGAGCCTTTAATATTCTGAAGTGCATTGTGAGATGTGTTCACTAACTACCATTTCCCAGCCTTATTTGGTCATAGAAATCTCTCTTCAAAGAACATCTTGCAGGATTTTGTTCTTCAGCAATACCTTCGGGAAATGCTGATACACATACTGCTCTGTTTTCTTCTGGCATTTAATTTCAGCCTGATTTTTTTGTTTGTTTCTTACTAGATAACCCCTCACCACCTGCTTGAATTTGTATAGAGCTCTTTTCATTGCTGTTCTAAAAACAACAAAGACAAAAGAAAAACAGCTGTGTGTATTCAGAAAGGTGTTCTAGGTGTGCGGTCTCTGATGCAGAGGGACTGACAGGGCGGACAGAATGAGCAGAATAGTTTGCCTCAAAGAACATCATCTCAGTCCCAGTTTTCTGATTATTTCAGGCCTTGCATGGCTAATTCTGCAGGAAACAGTGTTTTCAGTGGCAGTGTAACACGTGGGGCCCTAATCATATTCTTCAGTCCTTCACTCTTACAAGCCAACATGATCACAGAAAACTCACCGGTGCTAACATATTGCCCAACTGTTGGAGCTAGGGACGGGGACTGTTTGTAACTACACTTCTGTATGCAAACTTTCGAGCCTTACTTGGAGGTACCTCACTTGGCAGAACTTAAAAGCAAAAGCATCTTTGTCTCCTGAATGCTCTAAATTCAGTGGAGGTGACACATTTTCCTCTCGTACCACTCCTCAGTGGTGGTAGGTGTTTTCTTGGGGATAAGCAAATTCTTCACTGCCCTCAAGTGGTACCAGAATAATTTGATATTAAAATAATAGAATTTGGGATTTAGTATTTCCTGTTCTACGTGGAAATGAATTGCTAAGGTAAAAGACTAACTTAGAAATTAGTGCTAGGTTATAAAACTGCCAGTCTCAGAAGGTTAATATATAAGTTAAGTATTATATGAGTGTAGTGCTTAGAACAGTACCCAACAGGTAGAAAGAACTACGTAAGTGTTAGCTAATATCATTGTTTGTGGTATAATATTATTGATTTGACCTTAATTCGATTTACTTTTCTCTCTTACTCGGTAGGTCAAACTGTGCTGAAAATATCCGCAAACACATTTTACACACGGGCAAACATGAAGGAGTCAAGATGTACAACTGCCCCAAGTGTGACTATGGGACCAACGTCCCTGTGGAATTCCGAAACCATTTGAAAGAACAGCATCCTGATATCGAAAACCCGGACCTCGCTTATTTGCATGCCGGTAAGGGACTGAGACTATTAAAATGCTTGTTGTTTTTAACAGGATTTCATTTGCTTGATCGCAGCCGTTATAAATGCTATTTGTACTGTACCATGATTTATTTTAATGGAGCAGAGTACGTGATGGTATCTGCTTCAAGACCTATAAAAAAGTGCATTCCAGTCTTACCCCACTTAACTATGAAAACAGGCCTTTTCAACAGTATTTTTTAAAAAAAACAAATCTGACAAAGTAATCATGCTAGGACAGCAAAGTTAATAATAACAAATACTTAAAACATAGTTGAACTAAAATGAGAGTAGCTGTTTGAACTTCATATTTTGACTAATTGGTAAAATTTTTATTTTTTTTCAAAAAAAATGTTTGTGATTTAAAATGTTACTCGCTATCCCTTCGCATTATCATTTTTCTAGTGAATACCTGGAGAGAATGTGGCCGGTGGGTGGTAACACAGTACTGCTCGTCTCCCAGAATTTAGGAGGAACCTGTCACCCGGGTTTTAGGGAAATGTCAGTGGTGACTCTAGCCCCTCGGACCACAAGTCAGATGGGCTGGAAGGTATCAGAGATGTAGCAACAACTGCAGGGTATAGCAGCCCTGTTCCTCTGTAATCCCCCATTTTGTTTAATTAGCCAGTGTTCCTTACTGTTGAATTCTTACTATGCAGAACAGCAAACTGATGGGTTATGGGTGTGGGGACCTATTTGAGGAAGTACTTACCCTGACATAAATTTAAAGAACTGTTCCAAGATTTAGGCCAAGCAATACGGCATTTGAATAATGCCGGTTGATACTGAGTATGCTTTAAGCAGATGCTTTGGGACCAGTTAGAACTGCTTTTAAACTCTACTTCTCCCCTTATTGGCCATACGACCTCGGGCAGGCTGACCTCACCAAGCCTCCGATTTCTCATATGTACTATCTGTGTGATAGTACTCACTTAATAGGGTCATTGTGAGAATTAAAAAAGATAATGGCTGTGAAGCTGTTAGCCCAGGACATTTCATGCCTATCATGTGCCACACAGAGGGGGTTGTTGGCACTAGCGGGGATGGCGAGGGTCGTGATAATAGTGTTTGAAAGTCATGGGAAATCATACCAGAAACACAAGACTCCATTTCCAAAACATTTAAGCACTATTTGTTCTCACATAATACCTACACTAAAGGAAATAGAACTCAATGAGTAATTTAAGTTGGAATAATATTCTTAATGTATTTGACAGTATATAGATGTAAGGGTATTATTATTTTTTTGCTGATGTGCTTTTTCAGATTTATCGCTTTATGTTCACATGATTGTCTTGTTTAAATAATGGGTGGGTGTCTGATTTAGCAACCCCTCTGCTGTATTTAGGGCTACTTTTGGAAAACAAATGAAAACAGAGGTCTGTGCTTTTTCCATTTTGGTGAGGTTGTCGCTGTAAAGGTTTTGAACCAGACAGTTTATCAGCTTCAGTTCACAAAAACAGATAAAGTCCAGTTGAAGTAGCTCTGGCCTTCAGTGCCCGTGGGCTCTTCATAAATATGAATACGTGACGGTGCCGATGCCTGTGGAGGAGGCACGTCTAGAAACGGCCAAGCATCAGGAACCGAACTGGCGCGTTGTCAGCTGTCTCCTCTCCAAGGCGGTCGTGCTCTGCCTGCCTTCCGGATGCAGGATTGGTATATGGATATTGTCTTCCCCTTCCGTGTACCAATTAGGCATTAAAAATGGACTGCTAAAATAAAGCACCTCTAACCTTCAAAAGAAACACATGCCACAGAAAGGGGAGGAAAGCTAGTTGCAGACCATGGAAATGTCTTCGTTTTGTTGTGCACGGTCAGGGCAGATTGCTTTGCTTACCTTCTTACTGCCCTGGTGATACTGGATGTCGCCTGGTGATATGCTGTGAACTCTCGTTAGTGACCAACAAAGTCTCAGAAAAATCATCCTAGTCCCCTTGTCTATGTGCGTGAGGCTCACATTGTAGTACTATCTAAAACTATAGTCCTAGTTTCCTCTGTTAATATTTTTATAATTCTTCTAGAAACATTTTTCTACATAAGTCATAGCACTCCTAGCTGTTTTCACGAAGGAAACCCACGTGCCGCGAAAGTGGGCATTGACTGTTTATTCTTCCCTAGGCATGGCAGTATTGCTCCTCAGTAATATTTTGGCTAGGATTAAATTTAGCTCATTAAGAGGAAACTTTAAAAGAACAGAATAAAAGAATAAAAAATAGAATAGAATAGAATAAAAGAATAAAAAAAATTTTTTGGACTGACTTCTTTTTAACCTTGCCTTTCTGAATCCTGTGTGATGCATTTCAGTATGATATTTGAGTCAAATTGTTGCTGCATTCATTACATGTTGGTGGTAGTAGTTTCTGACGCTACAGGTGAGGAACTATGATGGAGGTGGCGTAAAACATCATATGGTGGCAGAAAGCCCTAAGGGCGGGAGAGTGCAGGCCTGAAGGATATCGTAGCTGCATTTTCTGGTGTAAGCAACATAAGCAGGATGAGAATATTGTAACCCAAACTTCAGTGAAGTGTATCATGTAGTTCTTTTACTAAAAGGTTGAATTTAAAACTACCCTAAGTACTGCACCCCCCCCCCCAAAAAAAAAAGCCCTGCAATCCTGATTTGGCTAGAGCATGTATATCAGACATTGTTAAAAGGAAAACATTTACAACTGCAACAGGAAAAGACTGTAAAATAGTGTGATTTGGTTGAGGTAATTTAAATTTTAGTTGAGAAAAATAATTTGGAAATTTATATATTAAAGTGAGGTGGTTTATTTTTATTTGAAAACTGTTCTGCAGAACAGTCGTGCTATTCCCTGGGCATCTCTGCATTGGAGTGGACTTGCCGTCGCGTAGGTGATGTATTTACGCAGATGCCACAGACCCGGGGGCCAGCTCAGTCCCTCCTGGGCCGCTTTGTAAGGATGGGCGTGCTCGGACATCTGTGGGCGCCGGTTCCTTACCCTTGGACGCAGGCCCGCTGGCTCCGCGCTTGTGTTTCTGTGGCTGTGGCCTTCGGGGCAGGGTGGGCTCTGATGGAAGCTTCATCGTTCCCTACGTGACTCTGGAAACTTCGTTTTAACTCCTGGGCCTCAGTTTCCCCTCTCCACAGTGGAGACAGTGATGCCTGTCACATGGAAGGCAGGTGTGATCTAAATGAGACAACACTGCTGTGAACTGCTCCACACTTAGCGTGAATGGCTGCTCTGGTTTTCTCTTCTCTGGCGAGCACAAGTTGATGATTCATTGTATTTTTTCTCAATCCTTTTTGGCAACTCGTAGAATGATTTGGGTGTCATTTTCCATCTTATACTCCAGAGAATGAAAGGCTATCTATGAGATTTAATTTTAGTTGTAGCTCTATTTGAAACACAAAAGTGATTTATTTATTTTTTAACCATGGATTATTTAGAAATGTAGTATTTAATTTCCACGCAGTTTGGAATTTTTCTACTTATCTTTTTGTTAAATAGTATTAGTAATAGAAATCAATATTTAGCTTAAATTTGCCATGTTTACACAGCCTAATCTGAATTATTTGAATCCCTTGAAATTGGCATAGGCTTTCTTTATGGCCCAGCAAATGGTGGGTTTGGGCAAATGTTGGGGACACCCCAGAAAGGAATCTAATTCGATGGTGTTGGTGTGTCATTTGTGTCCCTGTATGTCAGTTACAACATCAAGTCTGTGTATTGCTTTCTTCCAGATCGTCTTTATTCTTACTGATTTTTTTTTTTTTAATTCTGATTCTATCAACTATTAAGGGAGGCATGCTGAAGTTTCTCTGATTCTGGATTTGTCTGTTTTTTAAAATTCTATTAATTTTGGCTTTAAATATTTTGAAGATATTTCACTAGGTACTCAGAACTTTAGGATTAGTTTATACATGTATACATATATGATAAAGAGTATATATGTATTTCCTTATAATTATGAAATGTTTCTTTGTATCTGTAGCAGTATCTCTTGCCATAATTCTGTGTTTCATATTAGGATAGCTGTACCAGCTTCCTTGTAAGTGTCATGTGGTTGCATTTTGTCTCTTTACCCCCTGGGACAATTTTAATCTTTTAGATGAAATATTTAGTCTTTTACTGTTTCCTTTACTTTTCTACTGTCATACTTTTGTATCATGCTTAAATTGATTTTATTTTCATCAGTTCTTATATATTAAGACTTGGCCACTTTACGATGTACATTGAATTATTGCTTGTACAGAGTGATAGCACATGAATTTATCATACTCTCTTCACAAATTGAGATTTTCATATTCTTCTCTAGATAATCAATTTTTATATTCTTTATAACATGTATTATTTATCTGCATTGGCCTCTCACCCGGTTATAAGAATAAGAATGTGAAAGTTTGCTATCAAAACCTCAAGTCCTTTTGTTCCTAATGCTAACTAATTCAGTACCATTTAACCTGTATTAACTTGATTCTTTGTTTCTATCCAAGTGTATCACTTTATCCTTAGACATGTTATATTTCATATTCTCCCCCTGAGCCCATTTACTTAATCTATTGTAGTTAAGGTAAAACAGCTATAGTCTTTTGTCTTAACCATTCCCTCTTATTTAGCAAAATGTTCAAATTTCTTAATATAAAAGATTTTCTTCATCATTAATTAGATGCCTCAGTGTTCCAACACACAGAGCCTTGTGGAAGGTGGTCTCTCCCGAATTCTCCGTGGCCCTCTATTTTTAACCCACTTACTTTCATCCCCTTTTGTTAGTTGGATCCTCCGACACATGTCATGACATTTTGTACAATAATTCATTTTATGAAAAGGTCCAAAAACCTCAGAAAAATCCTGACAGTTTCTCATTGGTTCTCCCTTACATAAACCAATTATAACTTCAACCTAAAAAGGAACGAAATTCTTTCTGACATGATTGCCTTTGGTAAGTCCACGCTGACTCACTCCTATTAAATTGTGCTTCTCCAGATGTATCATTAAGCTCATCCATAAGTATCATCTCAAATTTATT